GGGGGGGAGAACGGCCTTCGGGGGGTAGGTCTGGGGGGGGGGGGGGGTGGGAAGCAGCATGGGGGTGGAAAGAGGTGTAGGGGGGGACAGATCAAGGCTCCTATGGTGAGTGAGGAGGGAGTGGGGCAGGGGCAGGGGCCAGCACTGCCCAGCCAGGGTGCTGAATGTGACTCCAGGAGCAGGACGGAGCCATGGGTTCCTCATTGGGGGAATGGGGGGGATGCCCTCCCACTGCTGTGCGCCTCACCGGGGGAGGCATGTGGGCCATGTGCCCTCTCAGATTTGTGTGCAGGGAGAGGGCAGGCTGCCCGTTGTGGGCTCAGGACCAGGGTCTGCACCAGCCTCTTCTGGGTCGGGGCTGGAATTGGGCTGCACTTGGGGTGGGCAGGGGCAGCACTGGGAGGGGTGGATATGGGGAATTTGGGGTGGCTATAGTCACCCCATAACTGCCCACACCTGCCCAAGTGCAGCCCTGGCCCAGCTTCCCCACCAGGAAGAGGCTGTCAACCCCAGGCCCCAAGCCCGCAAGTCTGGGGGGTGGCACATGCTCCCCATGCCTCTGTAGAGGGTGTGTGCAGCAGCAGGGAGCCACCCCCGCTCACCACCACCCATGCCTCCTAGACAAGCTGCTTGTGGCTTCGTCCCACTCCTGGCCCTGGGGTCCCATTCACTGCCCTGGCTGGGCAGCACCTGCCCCTGCCCCTGCCCCACTCCCTCCCTCACTATGGGGGCCTTGTACTGCCCTCCACACACCTCTTCTCTTCCCTCCCCTACCCCTTCCCCCCCATGCCCTGAGACTTACCAGTCAGACACTGCTCTCCAAGCTGCTGTACTGCATTCCTGTAAATCAGCTATTGTGTCAGTATCAGCCAATATGGCTGGTTAATAATTGGCCATCGGTATTGGCCAAGACAATTTTTATCAGTGCACCCCTGCTAATTTTAATTAGAGGGTGTAGCACGTGCGGGACCCCAGGGGTGGCCGTGATGCCCTCTAGTGCCCATGTGGCACCTGCCCCTTTGGCTCTATGGCTACTAGGGCTGTGCAAAGCTTTGGGTGCTGATTCGATTCGGAGGAGATTTGGTCCAATTCAGTGGCCAAATCTCCAAATCTTAATTGAATCAGGGGACTAATTAAAAGGCCTGAATCGATTCGGAAAAGATTCAGAGAGCTTCGGCAATTCAAGTAGTCCCTGCTTGCTGCAGCAGGGAGCTGGACCCAGACTCCATGCTGGTAAGTAGGGGCGGGGGAGGGGACCATGGGGGGATGCCTGCTAGGCCCCATCCTCTGCCTGCTCCCCCAGCTCCCCGAGTGCCCACCCTCCCAGCCCCCACACCCCATGACTGCCCTGCCCAGCCGCAGCTCCCAGTTGTTTAAAAAAAAATGCCCCCACTCACTGGCTGCTGACAGGCTGGGGGGTGGATCCCTGCTGCACCCCGCCATGTGGGGGGCTCTGCCACCCACCCCTGATCCCTGCCCGCTCTCTCAGCCGCCCCCGCACTCCATGGCTGCCCTACTCGCCCCAACTCCTGGCCCTTTAAAACAAATACCACCCCACCCCCCTGACTCACCAGCTGTTGCAGCAGCCTCAGGGCTTCTGGGCACTTGTGACAGAGCCCCCCACACAGCGTAGGAGCACTGGGAATCACCCCCCACTGGGCAGAAGCTGGTCAGTCAGGGCTTTTTTATTTTTTTTTTAAGGGCTGGGAGCTGGGGCAGGTGGGGCAGCCATGGGAGCGGGGGGTTGGGAGAGTGGGTGGGGGCTTGTGGCAGAGCCCCCCATGCAGCGGGGATCGCCCCCCCCACCTGGCAGCACCCAGTGAGTCAAAGCTTTTTTTTCCCCCAAAGAGCTGGGAGCTGGACCAGGAGGGCCTGGGAGAGCTGGCGGGGGATGGGGCCTGTGCGATTCAGAGATTTAGCAGGAGCTGAATCTTTGAATCAGATTTGGCCGAATCAATTCAGGGCAGTGATTCGAATCACCAGATTGAATCACTATGCCTTGAATCAGCTGAATCCGAAGTGAATACTAGCTGTTTTGCACAGGCCTAATGGGTACCCTCCCCTTTTCTCCCGGCTGCCATGTCTTGATTATTTGGCTAAAGGGAGCTGCTGCTTGATAGTCCCTGAATGAGCCTTCATCTATCTGCCAGCAGGCAGGTCTGTCCTGGACTCTGCCATTCTCAGTCTTGCCCTTCATGCACTAGGTGAACCTTCCTGGCCCATCCATGCCCCCGGGCACTAATCGCCTTAAGGGCTAATTTCATGGTCACCAACCTCTTCTGTAGCCATACCTATACCTTGCAGATGTTACTGTCCAATCAGTCTCCCTTGTGAGGGTCTTGGCCTTCTTGGCCTCTGCCTCTTTCCTCTCACTGGGCCTATTAGCCCAGGCTCACTCTGCTGGATCTGGCTCCTGGGCTCCAGCCTCCACCCTATTTCCAGGCACTGAATCTGCTACAGCTCTGTCTCTGCCCTGCTTGTGGGTACTGAGCCTACTTTGCCCTGCTCCCAGGCTCTTTTGGGACCTCCACCAAACTTTAGTCCGATCCCAAACCACTGATATAACACTTTAAAGGAGTAAATCCTCAGGCTATAACCCAAATTTCCAAGAATCTGAAAATAGACATCAGCTCCTTGGCTGCCTCACAAAGTTCTTCCCTGCCCAGAGTCATATTCCCCTGCGAGTCAACAGCATTTTACTCCCAGGGTAGCCCAGGTGTCAGCCAGGAGTTCCTTTGCAGTCCTGCCCAGGAACTATTTCGCCAGCAGCTCCAGGACTGCCTGGCCTGGCTTAGGCCCTAGGCGTATATGATCTTACAGCTGCTGCAGCCTCTATCTAAAACAGGAGCCTTAACCTGTTTGGTATAAGGGAAAGAGCAGATATGATGGCATAAATGCTAATACCCTCAGAATGGACATCATTTCTAGCATGACATACTGCATTGCAAATCACTTGCAAAATTAAACCTCTTTCCACAGTCCTCCAGGGCAAGAAGTGCACCCACTGATTGAGAAACTGAGACACAGGGAGAATTAACATCTGGGACACACAGTATATACATGGGAGTCCCAGAACAGAATATAAGAAAGGTAGCTTCTGTCCCTCACCCTAAGCCAGTAGGAAAACACTGTGCCTTCACTGCCTAAGTCAGAACATTCTTATACCTTGGTGCTGAAATGCAAGAAGGCAGTTACATTTACTCAGGTTGGTTGCTGTTGCATTTTGTTTTTAAAAAGTCAGTGTGCACTGGGTCTTGCCTAAAGCAGACAATGGAAAATTGATACAACACTTCCATCCCATAAGCAGGGGTAAGCTCTGCCAATCAGCATGGGGGGGAGCCCCTCTTCTGACATTTGCATACAAGAAAGCCACAGAAAATGTCTAGCTTTGAACTGCTGCTAAAAGAAAGGAATGGAAACAAACTATGAAGCTGCTTACATGTAGCCAACACCGAGCATGACTATGAAGTACATGGCCTGTACTTGGCAAACGTGGGCTGTGTAAACATATTCGGGGAGGTTATGGGGAGATTAGATCCAGTTAAAAATAGCCACCCAATCTAAGGTAAGTAGGGATGGGGAGGGCTAGCAGGGACAGGGTTGGAGGAATTGGGGGGGTGGGCAAACAGACTGTGAGGAGGGAGAATTGGGGGTTGGGGGAGCAGGTGGAGTCTGAGGGAGGAATCCGGGGATTGGGGGCAGGTGGGATTTAAAACTGATTTATCTAACTTTCCTGGAACTTCTGTACAATTCGCACTTAGATTGACCTAACTAGGGATCTAGGTGTAAGGTCCACAACTAGATGAACTAAGTGGATTGGGTGGCTATTTTTGACACAATCTAACCTCTCCCTAACCTCCCCAAATGTCTGTATGCGCCAGGGTTGCCAACTGTTTGAATCTATTCTGGGAGATTACATCACATGATGTAATGTCATTAATGACGGATCTACTGTACTGTATCCAGGAAGGCAAATGTACATTACTATTATGTTTTAAAAACCCATTGGACTACTGTAGAAATTGGATTAAATATTTATTTTAATGAATGCCCTCTCATTTATCTCCTGGGTGACTTTCAGCAGTCTCCTGGAGATTATATCTAAATTCCTGGGGACTCCAGGGCAATTCTGGAGGGTTGGCAACCCTAGTATGCACCAATGTTCATGGGAACCTAACACAAGGATAGGTTAGTGCAGCCCATCTGAATAAGATATATAATAGTGCCCATTGAGCACAGTCCCCCTCCGCACTGACTTGTTCAAGTCATGGCGAGCCACAATATTGCATACATTTCAACTTCCTCTTCACTCCTGCGGCTGAGCTCTGCCTTTCTTTCCTGTTCCCAATGATTCCTGTTCCTCCACCAGCCTTCAAGGTCTGGCAAACATTTCCAAATGGGGCCCCAAATAGTTCATTCAGAATCCCTGTTGCTCCTCTCGCAGCATGGTGCAAATTGGTGTGACACCACTCTCCATGAGGTGAAGCTGGACCAGATTGCCCTAT